AAAATGACAATCGGCAAATCGAGCTGTGAACAAATCTCCTGTTGAGGGTTCTAGATATTTTATTATAGTGGGAGATTCATATCCAATATATATTCCCATCCTTCTTTGAGGCCCCATCTTGGTACGTTGTGGGGGAGCAATTGGAACATGTACAGCACATCCAAAGGTTCTTAGATGGGAAATATTTGGTTCATGACCAAAAACCACTTGTAAAGGGGAGGACTTGAGATAACTTGTTGGCCTGATGCGAATTAACACTGCTGCATGCAAAATTGCATGTCCCCAAGCAGAAATTGGGAGATTTGATCTCATAAGTAATGGTCTTGCAATTAATTGTAAACGTTTGATTAATGATTCTGCAAGTCCATTTTGTGTGTGCACATGAGCCACAGGATGTTCAACATCAATCCCAAGAGACATACAATAATCATTGAAAGCTTGTGAAGTAAATTCACCAGCATTATCAAGACGTATTTTCTTGATAGGAAAATCAGGGAAATGTGCTCTTAATCTAATTAATTGAGCCAATAATCTTGCGAACGCCAGGTTACGCGAAGATAATAAACAGACATGCGACCATCTTGTTGATGCATCAATTAGAACCATAAAATATCTAAATGGTCCGCATGCTGGATGTATCGGTCCACAAATATCTCCCTGTATGCGTTCTAGAAAAGTGAGAGGCTCACTTTTTAGTTTTCCTGGTGATGGCCGAACAATTAACTTTCCCTTGGAACATGCATTACATGAGAAAACATTGGATTGTGGTATTTGTTGACTTTTCAATGAATGTCCACATGAATTCTCAATTATTTTTCGCATCATAATTGTCCCGGGATGGCCTAACCGGTCATGCCAAACATTAAATTTGTTATCATTTACAAACTTCTGGTTTATAATGATGTGTACTTCAATTGTACTAATAATTGTATAGTACAAGCCAGAAGAAAATGCAGGCAATCTTTCTAGTGTGCATTTTTTACCTGAGGTTGACTTTGTAATAGCAAGATATTCTTGATTTTCCTCAATTGTTGTTTCGATATGGTATCCATTCTTGCGGATATCCTTAAAACTCAACAAATTTCTTTTAGACTTAGTTGAGTAAAATGCACTATCAATGTATAATATTGTTCCTCCAGGTAACAATATATTGGCTTTTCCGGAGCCTTCAATCAGTTTTGCACTTCCAGATATAGTCTGAACGTTGGCTTCTTGCATTACCAAAGAAGAGAAATACTTTTTATTTCTAAGTATTGTATGAGTTGTTGCACTGTCAACAAGACATAAATCTTCATGATTGACGTCAATAGGAGCCATTCTTCGTTACAAGGAACATAGTCAAGAGAGGGAGGAAGAAACAAAATTAATAAAAGGAAAATACTCGTAATTTTATTAATTTGGAAAGATAACAACATTGAAAGTAGAAACTTTATAAAAGAAGATGAAAAAGAAGGAAAAAAAATCATAGAAATTTAACTTCACTAAAACAATTTATTGTTGAACATTCCCATCACCAATCAGGTGATCAATCTTTCCATTAGGATCAGCAAAGAAATCAGCAATATCCAAATGAGTGACATCCATGTTGCCATAATCAAAATCGCCCTCTTCATCAACAAAATTGGTTTCTACCCTTGGCATTTTGCCGTTGCCTTTACTTTTATTTTTAAGCGATTCTTGATAAAGGTCAACCAAATGTTTCGGTGTACGACAAGTACGTGACCAATGACCATTCCCACCACAACGATAACACGAGTCTTCAGAGTGGTTATTACTTCCACTAGTTTTTCTCTTGCGATTCTCATCATTCTTTGTCCTCTTTGAATAGGAATTTGAACCACCTCGATTATGACCACGACCACGTCCACGGTCAATGCGACGGCCTCGTGCACGTCCATGTCCTCGTCCACGACCACGTGTTGGTCCATTTACTACTACATTCGCTTCAGGGAATGGAGTGGAGCCGGTTGGACGGGATTCATGATTTTTCATTAGAAGCTCATTATTTTGCTCAGCTACAAGAAGGCATGAAATAAGTTCAGAATACTTTTTGAAGCCTTTTTCACGGTATTGCTGCTGCAGGAGCACATTGGATGCATGAAATGTGGAGAATGTTTTCTCCAACATGTCTTCATCAGTGACTTTTTCTCCACATAATTTCAGTTGAGAACTGATTCTAAATATCGCAGAATTATACTCACTAACAGATTTAAAATCTTGTAGACGCAAGTGCATCCATTCATAACGAGCTTTTGGGAGAATGACAGTTTTCTGGTGGTCATACCTTTCTTTCAAATTGTTCCAAAGTACGAGTGGGTCTTTAATGGTCAAATATTCCATTTTTAGTCCTTCATGTAAATGATGGCGTAAAAAGATCATAGCTTTAGCTTTTCTTGACTAGATGCCTTATTTTCTGCCTTAATTGTGTCTCCCAGACCATTGGCATTTAGGTGAATTTCCGCATCTAGTACCCAAGATAAGTAATTCTTCCCAGTAATGTCAAGAGCCACAAACTCAAGTTTTGTAAGGTTTGACATGATGGCACTACCACAAAAGAATATAATATTAAAAAAAAAAATTGTCATGTATGGAAATTACATTGCTCTTCGTTAATGAGAAGAAAAGAAAAATTATAAATTACCAAAAGAAAACAAATGAAGAGAAAATTTGAATGACTTCTGGTCATGAGTTAAAAATTATATGGCTTCTAGCCATATGTTAGAAAATTAAAATTATGGCTTCTGGCCATAAGGAAGAAAACAAAGTTTTATAGCTTCTGACTATAAAGTATAAAATAAAGTTTTTATGACTTCTGGCCATAAGAAAGAATAACAAAGTTTTATGGCTTCTAGCCATAAGAAAGGATAATAAAGTTTTATGGCTTCTGGTCATAAGAAAAGATAATAAAGTTTTATGGCTTCTGGCCATAAAGTAGAAAACAAAGTTTTATGGCTTCTGGCCATAAGAAGCAAAACAAAATTTTATGGCTTCTGGCCATAAGAAAGAATAATAAAGTTTTATGGCTTCTGGCTATAAGAAGCAAAACAAAGTTTTATGGCTTCTGGCCATAAAGTAGAAAACTTTAAACCATATAGCTTCAAGCCATTTAGGAAAAGAATGGAGAAAAGAAAAATACTCATAGTGTAGAATAGTATAGAAAAGTATAGAGGATAGACAATAAATCATGAAACATAATGTATAATAATAAGATCGGAATATTATACCTTTGTTAGAGCCCTCGTGCTGATAACGTGTTGTAAATAAAGAAGAAGAACAGAGAAGAAAGAATATCAATAAGAGAGAGTATTTCTCTTTCTATTCAATAGGGTACTGAATACATTGTACATGGCCTCTATTTATAGGCACGGCTTTACATCTTTGATAGAATCTACAGATATAAAGATAATTGCAGATAATGGGGATAATGGGAGTTACTGAAGATATTGGGAGATAAGGGAGATAATGATAGATACATGGACATCCATAAAGATATTATATTCATAACATAATAAGCATTTTTCAGAAATATTTTTCTGTAATTCGAAACAAACTCTTCTATATTTTTTTTTGGTATACAACCCACCAATAAGGTTTTCACATCGGCAACAGGATTCGAACTCACGACCTTGTGGGTTATGAGCCGATACCTTATCAACTAGACTAACTCTTATTAGTCATCTACATATTTATTTCGTATACCGTAAAAGTACTTCTCAAACCATAATTTTTGATATTATCCAAACATACATCGGTAACAAAAAGAAGTAATGAAGATTGAAGGGCTGATGGGCGACAAATCCTTTATTAAAAGTAGTGACATTAATTATCCTTCACCGAAAAAATTAATAAATATAAAATTAATTGTTACTGAAAAAATATTCTAAAATGTTCAATGTACTGAAAATTAATTTAACATGTTGAGATTTTCAATAAAAAATAAATTTAAAATGTGGAGAGGTACGCAAAAAAAAAAAAAGAAAGAAAGAAAAGATCTATGGGACTATATTTAGCTTGACCCTTTTATCTTCTATATCATTATTTATCAAAGCTAGCTAACATTTCGTTGGCCAAAAGAAAAAAAGCGCTAGCTAACATTTTCTCAAGTATTGGGACAAAAGCGTTTCAAGAATTAAGATTACACTTGAATTTTAATTTTTTTTAATGTATTTTTGAAGTAAGTTTCTGAATAAAATTATTCTAACTTAATTACAGAACGCCAATGAATTATACACTATTCATATTTTGTAAAAAATATTATGAAAAATTAATTATTAATTATTGGGAATAATTTTAAATTTCCAATCAACCAATTTATATAACTGCATATTTTAAGATGGGCTGCCAAGGTATACTAACTTTAATATTCTTAAATATTTTGGTTCTAATATTAGATTAATTTGATTTTTGTTGCTTAAGTATCATTTTTTTTTAATAATAATTTCATTATGCTGTCGGGAAAATTGGAAAATAATATATGAATGCTGCTCTAAAGTCACAGTTAAATGATTTTTATTTTTATTTACATGATTATTTTTAATGACAAAATTTATTAATCAATATACAAATAGTATGATATAAAATTATTTTTTCGGTACAATGGTATAATTTTTTTTTTGGTATAGGTGTCTTCGGAAGCAATGTTTAAGATACTGTCACACACTAAATATAAAAATCTTTTCTAATAAAAATTCAAATCTTAATTCAGTATATTATAAGAGACTAGCCTCTCGTACTAAATTCTAATCTTTGATATGAAATTATTTCTTGTTTTGGTACACATGAAATTATTTATGACCAACAAATAGGAGCCCCAAGGTGTATTAAAAAAAAAAAAAGGAGCCCCAAGCGGCTTGAAGCCCAAGAACATGTGAAGAGGGCCACAGGTTTAGGTCCACTAAGGGTATGTGTTGTCCAAAAAACCAAAGCAAGAAGCATCCAATCGAGGCGTCTGACAAATCAAAGCACAGAGAGATCATATTCTCTATGATACTCACTTGGGAGTGGACTTTTTCTCCTTCGGCATCCCAAGTTTCCTTTTCTTGGTAAAATAAGGAATTTATACATGTTGGACTTTCTTTCATTATTCCAAACTTGAAAAGCCAAACCAAACCCACAACAAGGAGCATGTTCTTATTATGCTTCTTCTTCCCTCCACCCACTCCCTCACTCACTCTTCTTCCCATCTCCACGCATGCTTGATTTCTGATTCTGCTAAATTCCTCCTCCAGGTAATGATTTCCCCTGTATCCTTAGGGTTTTTGGGCTTTATTTCAGCTCACAAATGGAGGGTTTATTCTTTTTTCAAGCTCCTTTATGTGTTTTTCTATAATTTGACTGGAATTGCTCTTGCTTTGCTTTGTCCTAGAAATTGAATTTTGTTGTTGATTTGTTGCGGTAATCAAGCTATCAAGTTGTGGGTGTTTGAAAATTCTGAGAGAAGGTGGAAAAGTGATTGTTTTTTAATCTTTGAATTGTTGTTATACAAGACCTTGATTATGAAAATCTGTATTCCTGCTCGTCTTGAAATATAAAGCAGAAAATTAAGGCGTAGCGAAACGCGCTGGGTCTGCTTGGGTTAGTCTTAGACAAGAAGTGGAAAAAAGCCTGTAGAGTTTTGTCTGCGTATCAAGAAAGTGTAATATTTGGAATTCAATGCAAATAATATCAGAAAGGTGCGGGGAATCGAATTTTGGTTTAGAATTTGAACTTGTTTTTATCTGAACACATGTATTTCTATGTATACACGCTGTTACAGTCAACTTTGAATGCTTGGGATAAAACTTCTAATAATATTTGCTACAGTAACTGGGAAAAGAAGCATCACTTCCAGGATCTTCAATCTTTGTGAACAAGCCTAGGCCTTTTCTCCTTTTTATTAATCCGTTGATCAACATCTTATATATGTGCATCAGATGAATGGTGATTTGATTAATTGACTAATTACTATGCAACTCATGTCAGACTAAACCACCACCAATTATACGACAAAGAATGCTTAATGCAGCATTGACATGAGTATACAAGTCATTTGGAAAACGAGATTTTCTGGCAATCCATGTATTTCTAGCATATCACTCTTGAGTTCTTGATGACTTTACTACATGGTCATTGTAGCTCATAATGCACTTGCAGTGACTAGTGCTAAAAAATGCTATAGTGTAGCACCTAGGATTGTGCAGGCCAAATGGGAAAAGAGCTTGCAATTCTCATTAACTTATATAGAATAATTCATAATGATTAGTGATTAATACACATTAAAAAGCAAAACTCATATCAGCATAATAGTCAGCCATTAATTGCAACATCAAGTGCTAAAGTCATAAGATACACAAGTGTGACCCAGATGGAGTCTGAGCTATACGCTAAGAAAACTTCTTCATTTTCTATTTGATCAAATGCCATATCACCTTAACAGTCATCAGTAGGAAAACAGTCGATTTCCTTTTCAACTTCTGAGGAAGTTCGTGGAGATGGTTTGACAAGAAAGTTAGGTCATGGCGGTGGATACAGAGCATGAACTGCTGGTAGAGGACAACAGGAATTTTTGGCAACTGCCAGTGACGGGTGAAAGTTGGATCAAGAAATGCTAGGGTTGGGTCTCTTAAAAGTGAATTAAACTAGTATCCCTAATCTTGCTTTAGGGCATATAGCATGCACTACAACAAACAGAAAAATAGCACTTTGATGGAGCTGAAGATTCAGAGCAGATTTACAAATCATTTCCTAGGGCCTATAGCAGAATTTATGGGAAGGGAAATGGTATAGGAAAGAGCAATTCCAGTGGATAAGAGTATTAACCTAAGGTTCCTGACTGTAAGGTAAAGGAAGTGGAATATGAGTAGGGAGTAGGTGCAGTTAAGGGTATGTTTAGTCTTTTGTAACACTTTCTTTAAATCTTCTCTTTCATCCTGGGAGAATTAAGTTGTCTTTTGGACATTGAGGGTCTGTTTGGCTCAATGAGAGGAAGGGGAGGGGAGGAGAGTGGAAGGATTTTAATATTACCTTATTTGGATTTATAAAAGAAGAGGGGAGGGGAGGAGTTTTAATATTACCTTGTTTGGTTCATGAGGGGAGGGGAGGGAAAAATATTTTGACATAGACAATTTTGCCCTTATTTTATTTAAGATTATTTTTTCAAATTTTATAGAATGTTTAATAAAATAGAATTGTAAATAACATTTAATATATTGAGCAATACTTATACCGAAATTCTAATATACTCTGGAGCGTGAAGAATTATTGAAAAGAAGACTGAAGTAATGTTCAGTCACAACTTGTACTGTATTCCATTTTTTAATGCAATCTTTGGTCATGCAAAGGAAAGAGCAGTATCTGGGGACAAGAAGAAAAGAATTTAGGGTAGTATAGGGATATTAAAAATAAATATGGGTATAATAGTCACAATATGGCAAAATATTGCTCTTTCTTTCCAAATCCCCTCAATTTTGGAGGGGAGGAAAAATTTTCTCTTCCCTCCTAAAATTTGTATGTTTCCAAACAAGGCGAAATGATTAATATTCTTCCCCCTCCCTCCCCTCCACTCCCCTCCACTCCACTCCACTCCACTCCAAATGCCTCATACCAAACGCACCCTGAGAGTGGTGAGGAGAATTCTGGCCTCTCGAATGTTAGGTTGGGGCAGGGAAAGATCATATTTCTTTGTCATTTTTGCATTCCGTGTTAGTGTGTTAGTGATTTCTAACATATTTAGTGCACTTTCTTTTGTATCCAATAGAATGTATCATCAATTTGAGTGAGTTCTTGTACTGTAACACTCTTCTTCTCTTCGGGGAGAAGAGTATTTTTATATTTAATATCAATTCAATGTTGGATATCTACTACTTCCGATCTTTAATATAAGATCTAATTGACTAATTTGGAGAGATTAAGGATGTTACTAAATTACTTAATTATAGCATATGTTATATGATATCTCTAAAATATTTATGTGTATCATTAGATTATATGTCAATTTATAAGTGAAGCAAATTAATTTGGAGAAAAACAATAAATGTAAATACTTTAAAGTAATTTAGTAATTTTTTTAATCTCCCTAAATTAGTCAACTGGGGTTTTATATTAGGGACCAGAGGTAGTACTATTTTGCTTGGGTTCTATCACACTGGTGGCATGATGATAGCCGGGCTACATGAAACTTGCGAGGCTATACAAGTCGCAGCTATTGATAACTATGGTTTGTTACTAGAAATGGCTGATGAGTGATAAAGTTCCCTAAGTTGTATGAAATGCATAACTTAAAGTTTCAACTTAATAATTGCTGGATTGATAACTTTACTGATAGCATTGCATCCAAATTTGTGCTTATTCTAATTAGTTATTCAAATATGTCTTGCATATGTACTCTACCAGCACATTGATTTTGTTCAAGTCCACCACTGAAGACATTTATGGAAACATATAGTTCATCTGGATCTTTCTGCTTCTGATATAAAAGAGGTGCACATGGTTTCTTCAGACAAAAGTGCTGATCGCAATGTTTCTTCTGATAAATTGCATCAGAGGCTGAGTTCTCAAAGCGATATTACTGTGTCACAAGAGACTTGTGATGATAAAATTGATTCATCCAACCCGGAGGAAGCAAGAAGAATTTCTTCTGTTGCAACTGAGAAAGAAGTGCAGGATTCTGATGCTACCCCTGATGCTCTGCAATCAGATCAAGAAGGAAGTGCATGTACCTCACCACTGCAGAGACCTGTGCAGAGTCCTAATACTGATTATCGCCCATTGCAATCTAGAGAGGAAAGACCACCTGTTATATGTGAAAAGATATCAAAAGACAGTGTAGCCGAAAAAGGAGTGTGGGATTCTGATGCTTCTGCCAATGCACGGAAATCAGAGCAATGGAGCATATGCTCTTTACCACATGTGGAACCCTTGCAGAGTACTAGCACTATTCCACGTGCATTGCACGGTGGTCAGGGTGGTCCCTCTATAGCACGTGAAAAAGTCTCCAAGGATGGATATAACTGGAGAAAATATGGCCAGAAAAATGTTAAGGGCAATGAATATGTAAGGAGCTATTACAAGTGCACACATTCCAACTGCCCAGCGAAGAAGCAATTGGAGCAGTCAAATAACGGACAAATTACAGATACCATTTGCATTGGTCAGCATAATCATCCTCAAGTGAACAGTCCACGAGCTGTCGAAGAAAAATCAAATAAGCCCTCTCTAGCCAACATGGAAGGTAAGAAGCTAACTTTTCTTGTATTTGAGTTTGTATCCTTCACAAAGTTACTGATTGTTTTCTGGCATCCTTGATGAAGACAAAACATCCATTGGGCATGGATGTGTGCCTCAACCGAACAAGTCTCTAGAAACTCATCCAGTTTCAACAGTTTCCACGGTTGATGAGGTCAAAGCTGCACCTTTACAGTCGACTAGAACAAGGGATGAGGTTCTTGCCAATGAGGATCCTGAGTCAAACGCCTGTACAATATTGCGCCACCTACTTTTACAGCCATTTGAATTGATATATCATATATATGATGTCTAACTTTTCTGTTACTCACAAATTTAATATCAAACAGGAAGAAAAACATTAGCAATGCTGATGCCTCTGGGGCTGAGAAGTCAGTTGGTGAATCTCGTTATGTCGTTCAGACTTCAAGTGAGGTTGATTTTATTAATGATGGATACCGTTGGCGCAAGTACGGGCAGAAACTGGTAAAAGGAAATCCAAATCCAAGGTAGAGGTTTGGCTTTATTTGAGATTTACCTAATCATTTTGCCTACTTTCGTTGTGCTAGCTGGTTGTGAATATATCTTAGTGCTTCATTGCTGCCAACCTGAATCCCTTTCATTTCAAATTCATATCATTGCCCACTATTTACTTATTGCCAACCATATAGTTTTTATTATGTATCACTCAAACTGTATTCCTTCTATACTTTTTTGTGGCATTGCCATATATGACAAATTCTGCGTTATATCCTATCGTTCTCTAGCTTTCTATGTTTATATTCATGAAAAATAACATCAGATTTCCTCATGTAAAAGGAGAAATGACCTTGTATCATTAATATTTGTTCTGCGCTGTATCCTTATGTACTAGGAGCATTCTATTGTTCATCAGAATTTGCTCCATCTCATTACAATTGTTGTTATTGCTTTTCCAATTTGGCAAGCGAATTGTCGTAGTTTGACTGTTAGTTCAATTAATCTATTAGATACACAAGGATGTGATTTCTTTGAAATTCTGAACGTGGATTCTTTTTGCCCCCATACATAGATAACTTCTAACAAATGTCCGTGTTCTTTTTCTTGGCAGCGTTTGGATAATGGTTTTTCTATATTCGGTTGTCCCCATATTTCAACTTAGCTGGAATCCAAGGGTTCCTTATATATTCCTATTTTCATTTTACGTGTTTATTTCTCCCACACACTTTTTCTCTGTTTTTTCGTCTATTAGTTTGTTTCCCCTGTTCTTTTGGTTCAAAATTTTGGAATTTTTTGTAGAAAGTAAAACTTATAAACAATTGCTATCAAATTCTTAAATATAAACATGACATGAAGACATAGCTTTACAGCTCAAGATCATATATGTTGGATTTCTTAAAAATATCCTAAGCATGTGTTTTGTTCAAAAACTCTTAATTGCACATGCGGATTTTTATTTAGTTCTTGTCCAAAGCTTCACTTGTCAATATAAGGTTTAGCTGTTCTTTGTCCCCCATTTCCTTTATTGGGAAAAAAGGCCTCTAACAAGAATTGGGAAGTGTGGCTGTCAGCAAAACCTATCAAGTTATAGACATATTGTTCACAATTGTTTTCAGATGCTAATTTGCTGTGTTGTGAGCTGACCTGGAAATCTAGATACATTGATTATGGTTATATGTAATTGGGAGTTTGTGACACTGCATTCACACTCTTCCAGAAGTTATTACCGGTGCTCGAGTCCTGGATGCCCTGTCAAAAAGCATGTGGAAAGGGCCTCTCATGATCAAAAAATTGTGATTACCACATATGAGGGACATCATGATCATGAAAGCCCCTCTGGAACGACTGTTATTCATAACGGAGCAGCAGATACTTCCACAACAATCATCGATAGTGACTCAGGAACCAAATCTGGGGAAAACTCTGTTGGTGTTAAACCGGCAGAACAACAGATTTGCTTGCACCTAGAAAGCAGGCCACGGGAGCAACCAAATGGTGAGCAAATTGCTAAGCCAAAGACTTGTGATATGGATGAATCTCAAGGGATCGCTACGGGAGTCTCTGAAAGCCCTTCAAGTGAGAGAGAACAAAATGGCAACACGGGCGCAGGAAATGATTCAGGCGTCCATGGTACCACGTGCCATTCAGGTTCTGAGCTTCCTTGTAGATTAAACAAACAGCAGAAAGAAGAGGTATCAGAAGAAAGTAAGTTAAACAAACGATCTGAACCTGATGCAGATCCTGTCCAAAGCTAAATTGGCAATGCTCTTCAAAGTTGAAGCTAGTTTACTGAGGACCAAAATAGCTGACAATAACATAGGTGATGCAGGAATAAGTTAAGTATTATATGGGATGATGATTGTTGTCTCTATTCTAACCTTTTGTTTTCGCTTGCACCCTCTTGCTCTCGTCTTAGAATTTGGAAAGGTTTACTAATAATATAAGGGGATATTACTACATTGGACATTACTTGTATACTACTATTTATATGGGATAAATAAGTGAAGGATGTACAAAATCTTGTGGATCTATCTTAGTTTTCATTTCCTTTTTTTTTTTCCCTTGACAATGTATTGTCAACTTTAGTAATGTGCAGTTGTTGTTGTTGGCATCCGGGATGAATTTCTAATGTGTCGTTTTAATGAGACAGATACAATGCCTTGCATAAATAAAGTCTTGAGATCAAAGGATGGTTCTTCCATTTGTTGGAAGTAGTTGTCTTCAAGTAGATTTTGATTTTGATTATCTCAACTTTAAAAGATACGTGTAATTTATGAGATTCACTTGAGAGATGAATCAGACTGAGTATCTAATTTTTAATATATCTTTTTTTTTTGCCGGAAGTAATTTTCAATATATCTAAGGTTACTTTCTTTCAATTGAAGCTGACTGATGCAAACTATTGGATGGGGTGGAGGGAATCAGAATTGATTGAGCAACTGGATGTCATATCAATGTTTCATATTAATAGTGTTTTTTATCACGTGGGGATAAGCGGCCCGGGGTTTAAATATTTGTGTTCGTTTTAGATTAGGGTGTGTTTGGATGAAACGAAACCGTGGTTTGGAAAAGTGATTCTGGAGAATAGATTCTGGGGAAAATAGATTCTGTGAAGAATAGATTTTGTAAAAAAGTGATTCTGAGAAGTGAGAGTGTTTGGATAGTTGTTATCAGAAGCACTTTTTATATATACAAATTACTAAAAAAAAACATAAGTTAATATGATAATTACAGAAAAAATAGATTTTATGATATATTTTAATTTGAAGGAATAAAATTGTTAATAATATGTTTTTTACCAACATAATTAATAATACATAGATAATATAATTAATAAATAATTAATGTGTATATATATTTATAAAATATAAGATTAAATATATTTATAAAAAATATGTTTATAAAAAAAATAACAAGATACATATCATATAGGCCCTCACACTCTCCCTTTTTTCTCCAAAAGCAAAAAAATTTTGTTTTTTCCAAAACCATGGTTTTGGAGTCAAAACCATGGTTTTGACCCAAAACCATGGTTTTGGTTTTTGGAGGGGCTGTTTGGGTAGATTATTCCCCAAACCATGGTTTGGATCCCCAAACCATAGTTTGGGGGTGTCACCCAAACACACCCTAAAACCAAGTTGAATTGAAAAATAATTTTACTCATTGCCTATATTTTCAAAGGACAATACGAATGTCCATTATATCAAGTACGTCCAGCTACACATGATTGTACTCTTTCAGTCCTTAATATAAGATTTATTTATCTAATTTGATTAGATTAAATAAGTTAGGTAAGTTAGTTAATTATAAGAAAAGTGACACATTTTTCCTAAAATACCATAATCACCTTTCTTAATATCTCCTCTCTCTCTCTCTTCTACTTGATTATGATTGAAGGAATATCCATAAGGGTAATTTAGAGAAAATTAATAAATATGAGAAATAGGTCTTATATTTAGGACCAAAACCAACTCAAGCATTAGGTCCTATATTAAGGACCGGAGGAGTATATTTTATTTTTAAAATATTAGCATTTAATAATATTTAATTAAATTCATATGAAACTAAAAAAAAACACAAGGTCATATATGATTAAAAAACTTGACATAATGAATATAAGGAATTTGATCTAAGTTTTTTCTATTTTCAAATTGTGTAAATTTACATATGCTGTTTCTTGTGTTTGCAGTTATAATTTTTAAGAATGATACTTACATCAAATTCTTTATATCTATTATGTCAAATTCTCTAATCATATATGATCATGTATCTTATTTTTGAAATATGATCATTTAATTATAAACCTATATGAAATTTTTAAAAAAAACACACACATGATTATGCGTAATTGAAGAATTTAATACAATAGATATAAAAATTTAACCCAAGTGTTTTTCGATCTTTAAACCAAGGAAAATAGTCTTAACTCCCTGCAAACTATAAATTTATGCTGACTGATCAAAGTCTACAAAATATATCATTTATACCAACATCAGTCGCTAATCAAATCCTACAAAATATATCATTTATACCAACATCAGTGAGCAGGGACCTGAAAAAACTACTACCTCCGGTTATTAATATAAAACTTCGTTTGACTTTTATTTTGATCCTAAATATAAGACCTCAACTCATTTTATTTCTCATATTTATCCTTTTTTTTCCTTCAAGATAATCCTTGTAATAATAGTAGTTCTAGCCAATAAACTTGATTAATAAGGATATTTAAAAAAATACAACACATTTATTACAAATAATTAACTTAAATTATCTTCTTAATTTTTCAAATTAGTCAATTAGCTCTTATATTTAGAATGGAGGTAGTATTATATTATCTTATTTCAATTATGGGTCAACATAATCTTTGGTCTATCAAATTTGCATGGCTTTCAATTTTATCCCTTGAGTTTTAAATCATAAATTTTGGTCCATCAAGAAGCAAAATAGTCCATATCTTTATTAAATTATAGGAATCAATGTTTTAGACAAAAAAAAAAAAACTTAAGGGACTAAAACATGGTTTGAAACTTAAAAGATTAAGCTCAAAATGAAGATACACTTGAGGGACCAATATTTGTATTAATCCTTCAATTAAAATCAAACTAAATGCCAACATAGGTTTTTCTTTTTTTTTATTTCTATTGGACGCAATTATATTCAAAACACTATTAGACACCAAATGTGGACCCTTCTCTCGACAAGATTTGAATATTGGTTAGTCATGTGAAGGACTAACTCCTTTCAGTTGACCTAGTCCTGTTGGTTTCTAGTATGTATTAGCCGAGACGATAGATATCCTAGCCGCTAATCAAAAGTATTAGGTTTGATTCTTGGGCATGGAAAATATTCTGGCTAAGAGACCCTTACCCCCTTAATGGATCTCAGTTGGGTCGGGTCAGATTAGTTGGGATTTTGATAATAGGATTTGGATACCAATAGTTCCATCATAACAAAAAAAAAAAAAAAAACTAAATCATTCAACACTGAGAATTATGGTGACACGTTACAAAATTCATTTTGGACTTAATTTTGATACGGTTTAAATAAACTAATTTTGTTTAAGTCATTTCTGAGGATTCTTCCTCATGGATCCGCATGTCAAATGAAGAGCCTAAATTTAATCAAAAACGTATTAAACAAATAAACGAAGACTCGGAAATGTGCACAAATTTTCTTTGGGTCAAATTCAAAAGGACCTACCACCTGAGGGAAGACCATGTCAACAGCCCAAATAGTCAATTCACAAACCAAACATTTCTTAAGAGTAAAGTCTACATATAATGGTTTCCCATGAAAAAGCAGTTCAAGCTAAGATTCAGAACAAATTTATTAATCTTCTATATTGGCTTGCTTAAGACATTCATATAAGTTTGGCCCCCTAAATTGTAAAATTCACATTTCATATTTATTTTTATTCGTATCTTTCTGTGTATTATAAGCTTTCATTTTCCTAAATAAATGAATTGGATTGAAAATCATTTTCAATCAAATAGAAATGACCATAAGCTTGTTTAAAGTCATATGATCAAAGTCCATTGGCAAAGTCACTGAAAAAGGTGATTGATTGGCATTAGACAAAAAAATTGTCCTTGATTTTCATCTAAATTGTCAAATCAACAAAGGGAAGAAACATGGAGATTTCTTATATGGTTGCTTTATATCTTTTAAATACATATAATAATGTACCAAATGACATCACTGGACTTCCCTTTAAGAAGAGATAATACTTCAAACTTTGAAGTTAATTCTCATTGTGATTTAACTTGTATCCATTCTGATAATAACTGCAATCCTTCAGTGACGATTTTCCCAGCCATGTAACTGGAGTGCTCAGAATTTCAGGGGCCAGAAAAAGGATCATGACATTTAAGAACAATATTGCTAAAAAAGAAAATGAAAACTAGCTATATTTTCAGATTTAACTTTTTGAAACAAGGAAAATGGGAAGAGTCATATTTGGTGTAACAGGGATTTGTACTATGCAGAGCAGAATAAGTAGACTCATCTGCACTTTTCTCAGATGATACTTGAGATTTTTAAGTGTTTGTTTTCGAGTTCTCTAATAAAAAACATGCCAAGTGGATTTTGTTTTCGGCTTCCTAAAGAAGCTCAACCACAAAATTGGGTGTTTCAGAACTTTCTCGACACTTGATGTGTTTATGGAGAACCCATAACAAGACACTTCAAAAAGAACTTCGCAGAATGCCCAGTTCTCACTTCCAAGCACAAGAAGCTACTAAATCTCTATTCATCCAACCCAGATAGAGAGCCCATCTCTTTCTTGAAGTGTATATCTATCAGAATAATTCTCAAGCAGCTTCTTAATGGTACTATTCACCAATGAGCTCAGAGGGTAAGGCGTGAAACCAGCCATTGCAAATCTGGCCCTCCACTTGCCGAGCACCTCGTGCCGCTCCCTCTCGACTCCTTCACAAGCTATGATGTTAACAACATCTCTCGCCAAGCAATGCTGCTCCACATTAATTCGCTCTTTGTGATCTCTGGGAAGAGTCACATCAATCGACTCGAACATAGCTTTGTAGTAGTCCAGAGCTTCGAGGAAGCGAGGGAGGAAAGGTGCAGTGTTTGTATTTGATTCTTGCTCAACAAGTGTCACCACCTTCGGAGACAAGCTCTTCACCAAGCGCAGCAGTCGATCACGGTGATTCTCGGTGCTGACACTTTCGTCAGGCATGTGATGTAGCATGAATGCGAAATTCACAGCGAGAGCCTCCCCTGGTCGAACCCCGAGATTATGCAGCTGAACATTACAGCCAGAGATAGCTGCAGCATGAAATTCAAATGGCACGTTGAATTTCTCAGCCAACTTTGATAGTCTCTTTCCCACTATGTTTAGTCCTCCTCCACGAGCATAAGCTGATGTAGAATCATCAATACCTGTAATTCGGATGTGGGGTGGTCCCCCAGGTCTAGCAGCAAAAGCCTGAATCAAAGTAATCCATTGGCTTCCCTGAGCAATTTGGAAATCAATAATATGAACTCTCTCCATCTTTCATAGCTTCAGCAATGGCTCCATTTGCAGACATGTAACCAAATTTGAAGTAGGGGCAGACCTCGTAAAGTATGTGCATATATGAGAGAAGCTCAACACTCGCCGGTTCTTTGCATCTTAAAGCCTTGTAGATTGAACTCCCCGAGGCAGACAATCGAGCTACAAGCCCTTCCAACATATATGCTCCCAACCTATGAATTGGTTCACCAGAAACTGACACCATTTGGCGTAATTCATCCATCAAACATTGAGCCATTAACAAATCATTATCTGAAACGGCTTTTGCACATGCGACTAGAACCTGTATCAGGTCCTTACTAGAAATTACCGCCATTGTTTGCCTCCAGCCATCCATTTCAGGCCAAAGAAAGTTAATTCCTTCCTTGATGGTGCTGTCATAGCTATCAATATTATCAGAGTCAGGGCCAAACATTACACTTTCCAGCTCTCGCAATTTGTGCTGGAAGCTATGCAAATCATCAGTTACACAGGAACCACTCATTGGAGAGCTGTAAGTATTGTCTGGAGACTGATGTTGATCAGATGGGTACGAGTATGATTTAGAATCTTGCTGCGAGATTGGGCTCCCACTAGGCGAGAAACTGACAGTTGAAGGCGAGTCATAAACATGGAAAATCCCAGTCGCAGAGGAGGACTCCAATGTGCAATAGAGTTCAGAAGAACATGGAGTAGAAAAGTGGGTCCCATGGCTTCTAATGTCATTTCCGTATAGCGCTTGATACTGCGGTAAGCAGTAGGCCTCAGTTTGTTGCATCAGTTGATAGTGCATGCTTGAACTTCTATGACGTTCGGATGCTTGCATTGTAAAAATAGATACCAGAGTATCAAATTAGTGTCTCTACTATAACAGAGTGACTGAAGCACCCGAACAATATTGGCAACCGGTTCTCATGACAATAAAACAGGAGGGCTTGAATTTTCTTTAACTATATCACGTTGATCTGTAATGAAGACGTCTGGATTATGCATAAACCATAGAAAATTATATGTACCATATCTGCAAAAGAAGAAAAAATCACAGAATCAGAATTATCATACCATCAGTTTCAGTTTTCCTACATTGTAAAGAAAAAGAAAGCTGAAGATGAAGTAGTCAGTTAGATACCAGTGAGCTTTGGCTTAGTGCCATCACAGTCATCTTCAAAATTGAAAGACCCAATCTATTCAGTTTGGCAGGAACATAAATGCAAAGATAGAATATTTTTCACGCCTTTAATTCATGAGAATAAATAGATCCGGTGTTTCGTAAAAAAAGTCTAATTTTTTCTTCCTTCTTCCGTGTATTATCAGCAAATTGACTCCCATACCAAACGTAGAATCTTCTTCTTGTTGTTGTTTATATTTTGAACGAGGACAAAGATAAAGGCTCAAGTCAAGTCAAGAACTAAAAAGTCCAAGAAACTTCAGAAAATGAACAATTCTACAAAATTTTCTTAGCAAAAGTGAGATAGACAAATAGAGAGAAAGAAAGAAAATTTCTTAGAAATTTGGAACAAACTGAACATGCAAGTCTACTTTCCAAAAAAATAAATTCAAAGATCAAACATCCAATGATTATATTTCATCGGCACGGCACTGACTAAAAAACCAATAAAATTTACCAGGCCCATTTCATTGCATAACATCGGAATCCCAGAATTCATTCTGAGCCAAAATTATCACTCCAAATAACCCCAGATTTACATTCATTTCTGGTGGAACGACACTTGCAGAAAGATTCTTAGCAAAATATGTCGCCAGATTCAATTAAGGCAACGCAGGATATCAAAGGTCTAGGCTACGTACTTTACTCAATTCAAATTGATTAAGCCGAAAGGAGAAGGCAAAAGATCCGCAAACCATAAAAAGTAAGTGCTTTTAATCTTAATTTCATAAAGAAACCAAATATTCCTAGCCAAAACCAGCTCTACAAGAACTGATATCCCATTTTACCAAAATAAAAATCGTATAACAAGCAAATAGGTTCATTGCAAATCATCCTCAACATGTAAAACCGATAAATTTTTCTTTAATGTAAGCAGAAGTTGACCCATTGGAGACAAGAATGGACACTACAATGTCGCATTCATTGCAAAAACGGGTCATTCAACAAAATTACAGAGCTCTCATTCCAGCCAAGAATCATTAGGGGAAAGAAGTTGAACGTTTCCTCACACCACAGAAACAGAGACACTGGCAGAAATCCAAAGAATTACCCAGAATTATCAAACCGTTTGAGAAAATGGGAATCTGAAACGGCAAAAGGAATTTTTTCTACAATTTTGCCAGAAAAAACACCCAGTTAAGCTGAAAAATTCTTACCCATCAATAGAAATCAATAGGTAGCAAAAATTCAAAGGGAACATGAAACTATGAAATGGGTTTGAGATGAAGGATATGTATGCGTTTGAAAATCAAATCAGTTTCTTACCATTGTGTAGTGGGATTCAAAGCTTGGAAATCCCCATGGAACAAGATTCTCTGTGGGCGCGTGGAGTACTGGAGTTGAGAGAGAGAGAGAGAGAAAGAGAAGTAAGTAGGGAACAACAAGATGAGGATTATATTTATCACACTGAAGAAAAGAAACAGAAACAGAAAAATTAAAAAATTAAAAAATTAAAATAGAACGCGTCATACTATCGTAATAAAATAGTACGTATATTAGAAAGGTGGGTACGTAGGTCTTCAAAACTCTTCTTGTTTCCTTTTTTTTTTTTTTTTGTGGCCTTCAGAGAGGAGTGTGTGTGTGTGTTCTAGACCAGCGTGTGAGCTAGTAGTGGCTGGCGTTCCCCTGTTTTTGCCTGGCCATGGCCAGCTCTGATGGTCTCAAGAAGGAAGTGGAACAGAGTTTCAAAGACCTAGTTCAACAGTGGCTTTTGGAGGAGGAACGTACAGCTCCGATACTAACACCAGAGCAAAATGCTATCATAGAGAAACTTCTCAAGTCCGATATTTCACACAATAACTAATGGCAGCAGCCCTAAAGCTCCACTGGAGATCGCAGGTTTAATTTCACTTGTAATCTCGTACCAATTTAGTACCTGATTCTCTAATCCAAGCTAGATCTTCCAAATGAGAGCCAGTGGCCTATATATGCATTGTTAAATGAAGCTAAGAGACATTATGGTGGGACGTTGGAAAACTAATTAGCTAGTTAAGGTTGATGAATTATTACCCAAGAAGAGCGATGAAGGGGGTGGCTTTGCTAGAATCAGCGTTCAAATTGATTTAACCATGCCAATTAAAGACCTTCTTCCTCCAAGCTCGATCGTTTTGAGTAATGTAGTTTATGAGGTTGTTGATGTGATATGATTATGGACATGGCAAGCTAGGAGGAGGAAGGAATGGCCGTTCATGTCCGCCGCCGCCGCCGGGAATATGAAAGATTTTAGAGATTGATCAAACAGTGACAATTACTTCTCATTTAAATCCTTATTTAGAACACATGACGTGTGTAACACACAATCCAGCTGTCTATTGCACAAGTATGTAATTATCCAGCTGTCGTGCTTAAATGGCGTTAAATTAGCTCATCTCGTCAGGAAAAAAAAAAAAGCACTCCTCCTCATCTTATTTATAGATCACTTACAACATATTTTATACGTATCAATAAAAATTTTAAATTTTATTAATTTTTATTTAAAATTTAATAATTTTTTAATTTATTCCTATTTAATATACAATATGTCACGTGAGAACAAAATCAACACAAGGATAAAATTGTACATTCATATAAAAACTTTATCTCTCTGTCTGATAAATAAGATCAATAATTTTTTTCCTCTCTACCCTATAAATATGATTAGAGCATGGTGTCATCCTTGGAACCCAGAAGACAAAAGAAAAATTAACTCGGTGACCTATCTGACCCAGCAAGTTACCTGAGTTGCGTCCGGGTTACACCGGTTTAAAACGATTTAGGCCGGGTTGGTTTCTTTCCGGTTTTAGATAAGAACCGGACCGGATGAGTGACCAGTTCATCGGTTTCCGGTCCAAACTGGCCGGTCCGGTCCGGGTTTTAATACCATGATTAAAGGAGTACACTAGTAGTATTGATCTAAGTATTCCACGTTGAAAATCATTACAATGTAATAATCACTGATTCACTGGCCATGCAATTTTACTTGTGAAGGAACGGAAGGCTCATAACATCTATGAGATTTTACATAATAACTTCTCATGACATTCTCTCTCATATGAATTTATGTGGGTTTTTTTTTTTTGCCAACTGAATTTATGTGGGTATTTGAATTAATTTATTTTAAATAATTTTAAGATTGTATGAAATAAATACATGGGGTGGTTTATCTCATAAAATGTAAAAGTGATTTTTTTGGTTAATTCCAAAGAGGCACATCTCTAAGATGATTCTTTTTTTCAACGTGACACGATGTATTATTAACAGTCTGATTGTATAATGCGTAACATTCAAGAGCAGTTAAGTTAAAAAGTCACTGCAAAAAGTTTTTAGTAGCAGCAAAAAGTCGTTGCAAGTTCATATCCTAATAACTGTCATTTTTTTTTTTTGACCAGCATCCTAATAACTGGCATTGATACTATAGAGTTACAGCTAGAAGTATAAGTTTATCAGTAACAACCATGATTGTCAAAAGTAAAAAATTTCACCACAGAAATTAATTCATTGCTAAAAGTATATTTGTAAAGGTGATAAATTGTCCTTTTAGAGTTGTCATTAGAATTTATTTTTAGCATAATGATCTAGACATGAAATGAATATAGGTAAAACATAAATCGTCGTGGGTATATATTTTCAATAATTTTTCCTTTAGTTTTTATAATTTATAATATTCAATGACATAGATGAGAACAACCAAAGAAATAATTAAGTCATCTAACCTTATAAGATTCATTACATAGTCAAAGCTGGGAATCACTATTATTTCTTTCTAATTTGAGCAATTATCAAAGAAGACTGACATGTGTGAGTGATAAATAACTTAGAAGGTGTTTGGATGGAAACCAAACCATGGTTTCAGAAGTAATTTTACGGTGTACGAGATAAATATGTGGAGGAATTTATCTCGATTTGCAGAAAAGTTCTTCTGAGAAGCACTTTTTAGGGTATCCAAACACCCTCTTAGTTGAACGTCTAATACTAACGAAGGGGAATCCATCTGTCAAATGTTCAAACATGTGATGCCCCAAGTGTTTGATTCTCATTAAGCCAGGTGGCACTTGTTAACTGGTCAAAAAAATCAACTAACAACGTTAAATGTTTAATGAACTATGTCATCTCATTTTGATCCTTCTTAAAAGCCTTTTAAAGTTCTTTCTATAGTAATGGCACAATATCCATATAAAATGTAATATGGTCCAGTTATATTTATGAAGAATATAATCATACATAGCAAAGCAGCTCGCAGCATAGAGGTTGGAAAGGTACTGTACAGAAGCATTTTTTTATATGTATGTGTTTGAGTGAGTGTATCTCTTGGATCTCCACGGAAAAGGAAAATGATATGGAGATTTATTATTGCAATAATTGAGTTACATTTATTTAATATAACTAAAATTAATCAGCTTTTGTTATCATAAAAAAAGTGGAGATTAATTGTTAGCCTCCGGTTTTTGAGTTTTGATTTGTGATATATATCAAATTTACGTAAACACTTGTAGAAATCATTAGTTTGTACTACCTCCGGTCCTTAATATAAGACTTTATTTGACTTTTATCTTAGTCTTAAATATAAGACCCCAATCCACTTTGTCTCTCATATTTATACATTTTTTTCAAAATAGTACTTTTAATAATGGTAGTTCTAGCCAATATACTTGATTAGTAAGGATATTTTAGGAAATACAACACCTATATGTAACAAATAACTAACTTAATTTGTTTCCTTAATTTTTTCAAATTAGTCAACTGACTCTTATATTTAGGACCGGAGGTAGTATCTGTATCTTTTTTTTCCCTCAGAAGAAACAAATATACACATTG